AACGGGCCAACAAATGAGTTTTGCTTTTGCACAACTGAAATGGGCTTCTTTGTCCATACTGAAAAACTTCATTCCATCCGAACTTTGGAGTAATTTGTCTCACGTAGTTGATTGTCGTTGGTTTTTTTTTTTTAGAAAATTTATAATAATTATCAAAGAAAAAAATTATTAATTATTATTTTTCAGCATATCATGATTAAATTTTTAATATGAATAAATCTCAGAGCCCTTTCACATAATGTGAGAGATTAAAATAATATTTAATTAAATATATGTTATGCTCGTAGCAAAGCGGTTCAAAAAATTTAAGCATATGTTTAGGACGACAGTGATTTATTATAAAGTTAGTTTTGATATTGGTATAAGAAAATAACTTAATTACATCATTTATAAAAATAATTTTTCATCGTCACAAAAATTTTTAAAATGCTGTGAAAAAAGCAATAGTCAAATTATGGTTGGCGTCTGAAATAACGAAGTATGAAAAAGTTGTGCCAAACACCGTTAGACTCATTCTAGCCACTTTTTATAACAGGATTTTTTAATATAATTTCATCCTCAAAATATCCATCGCATTAGCGGAGGTTTTTCTCATAAGAACTTATTAATTGAATATATATAAAGCTAATTTTCCAATGAGTACAAATTGAATTCCATTTTTTTTAATTTATTTTGAAAAAGTATATAATATTAATTTTTAAAACAGATTTAAGAGTTATAAGATTTATTTTAATTTATTATTATTATTGATACGACATCACAAAATTATATTGACCATGACACGAATTTCGAGGCAAAAGCTAGTTGGAAACTTCAAAAATTAAATTTGGAAGCTCCCGAACTTCGATTTAAGCGAGCTTATAGTCAAACTGAGCGTCTCGAAAATACGAACCCAACGACACCAAATGCAACCCAATCCGAGCCCAAATGGGTCCAAATCAAGGACCCGAAGCACTGTTGTAAGGTTCAAACCTCAATTTGAGTTACCAAACAGTCTCCGATTTTAACAAGCTTATACTTAAATCGAACGACTCAACGAGACGAATCCAACGAGCCCAAGATCGACGAATTCCAACATCATTATGGCCTCCAAATGTCCAACGAACGGTGCACGATTGAAGGGTTCAATATCAGCCGTCCATTCAAACCACTCCCTATTCGCCCCTGATCTCACACCTATTTACGAGCCATGCCACTCCAGAAAAACTATAAATAGGCCGTCCATTCAAACCACTCCCTATTCGCCCCTGATCTCACACCTATTTACGAGCCATGCCACTCCAGAAAAACTATAAATAGAGTCCTCATTATTCACAAAGGGGACTCAAGTGAATAGAGAGAAGAAGAAGGGAAGAAGAAGATAAAGGGGAAAAGGAGAATCGTCTCCTCCTCGACCACCGCCGGAGCTCTTCCTAACGTCGTAACTCTGGCGGATTTTCGGGAAACGTTAGAATTCTGCAGAACTTTGTAAACTTGCTGGAAGAAATGAATTGTAATCTGATTGCCCCGACTTGTGAGACGAATCAGCCATTTGTAATTTGCAAAACACTAGTGGAATTTTTCAACTAAGCGAGGCCCCATGGTTTTTTCCCTTTTTGGGTTTTGCACGTAAAAATTATGGTGTTCATATTCTCTTTTCTGTTTGTGTGCTGAATACTCGTACAATGCTCGCACGTGAATTTACAAACTCAATCGCCACGTATATTCTAGTACTCAACAATTATTATTATTATCAGGCTTCAACATCGCATGTTGTTGAAGAAGGCTGACGACAACGTCAACATCATTCCATTTCAATTTTTGATAGTTTTAAATTTTGTAAATCTTTATTAACAGCTCAGAGCTCGCATTATTGTACGAGATACCGTCTTCTTTCTCTTAGAAACATTTCAAATCCAACTCTCCAAGCTTGGTTTGTCTCGTCAGTAGTACTGCATGCCTGTGATTGATATGGATATAAACCAAAGTAGTCCAATGGAAAAGCCATTGCCACTTCAATAGTTTTTTTTACTATCATTATCGGCCAACTCTCCATCAGCAGTGAGACAAATTATTCTGTGCGGAGTTCGAATATCGTTCAGAGGCTAATAAAAATGTGTCACGTCACTTCAAAAATATACCACACTCGGTATTTGTACCGGAAGATACCGCGCTCTGTACCAAGCAGTACCGGACGATTCTCTCGATCATCCGGTGTCCGCACAGAATAATCTCACCAACAGTGAAGATGACCATATGGTATCTTCTTCTTTTTTTTAAGGAAATAAACTAAATAGTTTTTTTAATTAAAAGGTATATTAAAAAATGCATGTGTTTAATATTTCAATATTTTATGAAGATTAACATAAAGGGATAAAATATAATTTGCAAGAGATACTATAATATTTATGTCAAGAAATAAATCAAAAGGTCTAACCAAATTCAATTGATCCTATTAATATAGTCAGTGGCGGAGCCAGAAAATTTTCATAGGGGGGGGGGGCCTCTTTTTGCAAAGTTAATATATTATATAGTATATCAGCTCCAATTGCTACATTTCCCATTACATTATAATAGATATTAGCTAAGGATGAATTTTCATAACACTCCATCTTTTCTCTCTCCTCATATTTTCTCTCATTTTTTTCTCAAAATGTTCTCTGTTAGCTGAATGCTTAGGGATAAAAGGGATTTAATAAAGTCATGTAATGGAAATAGATATTTAGGTATAGAATAATAATATAAATATATAATTAATCAAATTTTTAGTATAAAATTTATAGAATTGTTTTTGGAAGCTTAAAAAATTATAGAAAAATATTTATAAATTAGAAAATTTTGACGAAATTGATTTGCAAAAGGTACATCTGACGGTCTGAAAATCCTCATTTGTACTCACAAGTGTCAATTTCTTAAAAATTTTCATTAGTGCCTAAAAATTATAAAAGTATTTATATAATTAAAATAATATAATCTTAATGGTATCACAAAGACGGTTTTTTCTTTGGACTTATATTGACTCTAGAAAAAAATATTTGATAGAGTTAAAATACGAATTATTATAGGGGAATATTTTGTTACAATAAATTTAATTTTAATATAAATTTATTCGATGACTTGAGACTTCATGAAATTATTTTGTGCGGACAACGGACCGTCGGGAGGCGAATAAGAACGCAACACGTCACCCGTTTGCTATATACCGCGATTATGTACCGCTGTGTATCGAATGATGTGGCGCACTCTGATTTGCCTTTGGACGATCCAACGTGAGAATAGCTTAATTCATAAATAATTGACGTAATCCGCACGTGGCCAATTCATAGCCCACTTGCTATCATGATCTGTCTCATTATCCAATCCAGCAAATGCCAACCGTCTTAATTCATCCATCTCATTATTAGGAGCCGATTTGATTGGAGGTTTAAATTAGGTTGAAGTAAAAAAAATTATTAGGATTTTAAATAGAATTAAGTAATTTAATCAGTGAAAAAAAAAATTGAAAGCTGAAAATTTTATAGTTATTAATATTTCATGCCAGAAAAATTACTAAGATAGAAATTTTAATATCTTAGAATTTAATGATTTTGGTCTCATTGGATTCATCATCTTGATCGATTTGATTGCACTATAATCACGCAATATTTGAAAACCAATTTGTTATTTGATTTATAAGCTTCAACTGTTTGATTTGAGTTCATTTATACTCGGATCTTATCACTTTTAATGTTGTTAGGATTCCTAAATTTGATTCAAAAAATTTGCAACTCTAATATTATCTTCTGACTCATGCTAATCAATTGAATTTTCAAGATACATATTAAGTTATATTTTATTTAAAGTCATTTGCTTTATAATCATGATGTGATAATTCATATTTAAACGAAATATAATTTGAATAAAATTTATTTAAATTTTAACTAATTAAAATTATATTAAGCTGTTTTTAAATATTTAGAACTACTTTAATTAGAATCCTTACTAATCTTCTTTTTTTTATGACTTTTCTAATTATTATTTTGCAAACAAAGGGTTAGGCTACTTTTTGGATAACTTCTTTAATTCCATGGAGATGGAATCATCAATTGGCGAAAAAAAGCTATCAATATCAAAACATATATAGGCTTCATCTGTGACAACTTTTTTAATGTTTTTTAAAATAATTTTTTATTCTAATTTTTTTTTTGCAAAAAAAAAAAAAATTGAACTGAAAAAATTGCTTTATAAAGCAATACAAAAGCTCCCAAAGGAAACAATGATTGGTATTAATCGGCCCACAAACATTTCAATTGTCGGTACTGTTTCTAACAATTACAAATCAGAAGAAATCATCAGATCATACGCATCTTCATTCTGATCTCCATGTTACAATTAAACCTAATTGGCATTTTTACTGAACATAATAAAAAAAAATTTAAAGAAATAAAAAAAAATCCACAAAAAAATTTTAAAAAAAATCGACAAAATAAATAAAAATTTAAAAAATCGAAAAAATAAACCATTCTAAAATATTAAATGTTGTATAACACTGTGAATTGTTTGATTAATTGTAAAAATAAATATAATAATTTATATTTTTATGTTTGGGAAATATAGAACTTCATATTGATACTATGGGATTTGGAGCTGTGGGCTATGGCCAGAGGCAGAGGAGATACCATCTAAGTAGATTATAAGGCAGTGAATTTTGAGTTCATTCAAAAATGGCAAATTTGAAAATTCATAAAAAGGAGCTTTTGGAATATTTTAAATTCCTTAAAATAATAATTTTTATTTATTTTACTATAAATAAAATTTAAAAGTTCAAACATTTCTTTTATTTATTCATTCAAATGAAGTAACCACCAAACTATCTTTATCTCCTCCATTGATATAACTAACAGCTACCCATGCAGCCTTCCATTTCTTCTACTTGAGAAGCTAGCAGCCTCTCTCATGGCAAACTACGCATCAATTTCTTCATCTTCTCGTCTACTGTCAAACCTCTTCTTTCTCCTCTTCATCATCTTCCTCTTCCTGTTCTCATCATCTCAAGCTCTCCTTCCAAAATCAACAAAGCCCATCTTCAGAAGATTCATTCTCACTGATCAAAATAAGTCCTGTAATTTCATAAATCTTGAATCCGACAAAGCAAAGTGCGACTTCTTACAATCCTCCAACCAATGCAGCCCGAAAGGCTACATAAATTACCTCCACCTCTACTACTGCTTCTTCAGCCATCACCTGCATCCTCTAGGCTTGACCGTCTTACTTCTCTGGCTCATCTTCCTCTTCTACCTCCTCGGAAGCACCGCCGCTACTTCTGTTCGAGCTTGGAAGGTCTCTCAAGACTCCTCAAGCTTTCTCCGGCCATCGCCGGAACGACCCTTCTCTCGCTCGGAAATGGCGCACCCGATGTTTTCTCAAGCATCGTATCCTTCGAGGAAGGGGGCGGCAGCGGCGCCGCCTGCGACTTTGGCCTGAATAGCATACTTGGAGGAGCTCTGTTTGTGACTACTGTAGTTGTTGGCGTTGTTAGCGTTTTAGTAGCGCCGAGGAAAGTCGCGGTGGAGAAGACCGACTTCGTAAGGGATGCCTGCTTCTTGCTGCTCGTTCTGTTGAGTTTAACGGTCATATTGGTTGCTGGGAAGATAAACGTTTGGGTTGCCTTGGCTTTCCCTTTGCTCTACCTGCTCTATGTTTTGTCGGTCTGCATCACTCATCTTTTTGGAGGAATTGGGAATTTTGTAAGTTTTTCCAAAAGCACTTCTGATAAATTTCCGGTATCTTTTTATGGTCAATTTAGGGGTTTTCATATATTATAGCTGTCCTAAAATTTGTAAATTTTAGAATATATCCAAATCAGGTTTTCTTTTAAGAGCACAAAGAATATCTTTTGTACACTAAAATTTATAGAGATGGAATTTATTCATTATCAAATATTGATCATGATAAAACATAAAATCATTAAATTTATTTTAATAAGAGATAAATTAAACAAAACTAATTAAAATTTCTATTAAATTAATTTCAAATGAATTCAGCAATTTAAAGTGGCATCCATTTTACTGAAAAAAAAAAAATCTATTTTTTGTGTAGCACTATTTTTTATTTTCTTGGTACATTATCATCCTCATAATTTTTGTGAATTTGAGAGCACTGTTTCAATTTTCTCTTTAGTATTGAATTCACTACACAATGAAAAAATATCCAACCTAACTTCATAATTAAAGATTCCTGAAAAATAATTAATATAGGCTTATAATTGATACTCTTAATATTCTTCTGAAGGAGGAGAAGCTGACCATCTTCGACGCCGAAGCGGCTACCGAAGAACTTGAAACCCCTCTTCTAACCACGATAAAACAAAATCAAGAAACCAATAGTACAGGCCGACGACTGAACCTCATCTCTGTAAAATATCTTCGTCTTCTCAAGCTCGCGCTCGATCTCCCAAGACGAATAACCATTCCTGACGTCTCCGAAGACCGTTGGTCGAAACCCTTCGCCGTTACATCCGCCGCAATGTCGCCGGTCCTCTTAGCAGTTCTTTCTTCCTCAAACCAACTTCTAACGGGCGCTCTCGTCGGCTTATTCACCGGCATCGCCGCGTTCTTTACAACGGAGAGTCAAAATCCTCCGACCAAATTCCGGCTTCCGTGGCTCACCGGCGGCTTCCTTATGAGCGTGACGTGGACTTACGTCACGGCGAAGGAGCTCGTCTCGCTTTTGGTCTCTATCGGGACCGTGATTGGGATCAGCCCGGCGTCGCTTGGGTTGACTGTTTTAGCATGGGGGGATTCTTTGGGGGATCTAATGGCGGCGGCGGCGATGGCGAAGGGAGGCGGAGACGGCGGGGTACAGGTGGCGGTGTCGGGGTGTTATGCGGGGCCGACGTTTAATGTGCTGGTGGGGTTAGGGGTTCCGATAGGGATGTCGGCGTGGATGACGTGGCCGGCGCCGGCAGTGGTAGAGATGGATTCCAGCGTGTTTGAGACGGTGGGGTTTTTGGCCGGCGGGGTGATGTGGGCATTGGTGATTTTGCCGAGGAAGGGGATGAGGCCGGATAGGGTTTTGGGCTGCGGGTTACTTGCGATTTATATGTGCTTTTTGACTGTGAGGCTTGGCACCTCGGTTGGTCATCTTCCATTATAATAAAAAGCACTTTATATTTCTTTTGTTGACTATTGGGATTTTTTAAATATTAAATTCATTTAAAGATGAATAAATTTTATTAATAATAAATTAAATTTTTATTTTTTTTTACTAAAAAATTATTTTATGAAACATAAAAAAAGCCATCCCAAAAGAAACCTAAGAGATGGATCAAGAGGTACCTGAGCTAGGTCAAGGCTCAATGAGCGAAATGCAAAGCTGAAAAATTAGGAGAAATCTTGAATGGAAAGAGAGGGGATGATAAAAAAAAGTACTTGCATGTATTTTTTTTCTTTTGAGCAGTATAATAATATTTTAAACTGATGAGTTTCCGATCAGCTTTAAACACTCGCCAAATAAATAAGTCAATTATAACAAATCTTACTTAGCGTGATAGTGTTTGCAAAGGACCGGTCCAACATCACCATAACAATGAGTGACAATGATCCTCTATGGAGAAATTATTCTGTGCGAACACCCGACCGTTCGGAGGCAAATCAGAACGCGTCACGTCACCTGGTTCATAGCGGTACACAACAAAAAAAAATGACGTGACGTGTTCTGATTCGCCTCCGAACGGCATCCTTATCTGCACAGAATAATTTATCCGCTTGTCTAGTCTCCATCCCAAGTCGTCCTCAAGAGTTGGCCGATTAATCTTTATTCAAGTACTAAATGAAGGGACAGCCTTAGTCAGCATGTTGGAATCATAGGCATCCTTCTGATAAAAAGTTGCAAATTTCATCATTTGTGAAATTAGGGCTTCACATGATTCAGTCTATGCTCTTTGTTACTTCATAGTCCCCTAAGATTATTTTTATCAACTTATCTAGCTAGTAAAGCCTCCATGCAATCTGCTTATCACATAAAATAATCAAATCACTTCTCCATTTTTCAACATTCAATATTTAAGTTATCTCATTCATGTTTTCATTCTTTTATATAATAGATCAAAAATATGTAAACACATCACATCAATATATTATCTTCTAATAATATTAAATGATAATTATTAACACCTTTTAAGCTAAGATTATATAGCATATATTCAATATTTATTTTAGTAATTATAAGGTCATTCTCCTTGAAACAGTTTCTTTATTGTTCTAGCACTTCAATAAATGTCCAACTAAATAGAGTTATATCATTTGAAAAAAAAAAAAACCCTTAAGGAACTTCACTTTAAATATCTTTTATAAATATATTTATAATCAATAGAAAAGGATATACTCATATACTTAATATTAAACATTTATGTAAAACAATTAAAAAATTCAAAAAACTCATGGAACACTCCATAACTATTTCTAATATTAGTCAATGCTCCTCGCAGCTGCTTGTCAATACTCCATATATATACACAACAACAACATCAAGCTTTTATCCCACTATGTGGGGTTGATTACATGAATCATTTTTCTCCATCGTCCTACTAATAATCAAACTCTCATTTAAATCTAATAAATAAATGTCATTTCTAATATTTTCTAATCAAGTCTTTTTAGATCTACCTCTAACTTTCTTAACATAGACCAAATCTAAAGCATCTACTTTCATAACTGGGTCATCAGAAAGCATATGTGACCAAATCATCTAAGGCGACTCTCTCTAATCTTATATTCCATTGGAGCAACTCCAACTTTTTCATGTTTGTGCATATTTCGTATCCCATCTCTAAAAGTAAAGCCACTCATCCACGTGAGCATCCTCATCTATGCAACACTTAACTTAATATTTTCTCTTTTAATGGCCAACATTATGCATCATAAAACATTGCAGATCTCACCACCATTTTATAGAATTTTCCCTTAAGTTTGAGGTAGACTTTTCTATCATGCAGCAAGTCTGATTCATTCATCTACTTCAGCCATCCAACTTGAATTCTACTAATAATATCCGATCTATTTCACCATCACTCTAAACAATAGACTCTAGATATCTAAAACGTGCACTCTTATTAATGACTTGATCGCCCAAAGTCACAATCTACCGCTATTAATAACATTTCCTCCTTAAAGCACATACAATCAATTATCATAGCACTCAATCATATGTCTTCTCACTATTAATAAAAACCATATTAAGAATATTTCTCTTTTTTCTCTACCTTTCATTGTTACTCGTCTTAACACAAAAATCATTTCATATAGGGCTATCTAGCATGAAATAAAATTAGTTATAAAAAAATGACATAAATTTTTCTAAGACTATTTTATTATTATGTCCAACAACTTCATTGTATAATTCATAAATTTGATTATTTTATAATTAGCACAATTTTGAAAACATCTTTGTGTTATAAAATATCAATATCAAAAGACTTCTCCAAGCATTCCACATCCTCTTAATTTTACTAAAAATATTTGTTTCCCAAATCATTGCAATATCCTCAACTCTCCAAATCTCAATATGAATCACATATAGATGTAAAGTCTTATCTTTAAGCATCTTTTGCAAATCTAATTTCACTCATTTTTTTGGATCAATTTATTACATTTTTCAATAAATTATTTCTTATGCTCTCCAAAAAAAATTTCGTTAAAACTCTCATATAATAATTCAATAAAATAATATTTTGGTTTTTCTTTAACAAAAATTCTACTATCATCACTTTTAATGCTTTCATTTTGACCAAAATTCCTAGATCACTTATCTCTTTAGACATTCTAAATATCTAATTTAGTACATTCCTTAATACCAAGCATATTAAATAAATTAAAAGAAATTAAAACTTTTGCTTTACTCAATCCTCTCTTTACAAGGCCTAAATTTGCTTATAATCATTATAAGCTTAAATAATATTCAATCTTTGCAACTTTTTTAAAAGCACAATTATTAATACCTCTTTATTACATCATTAGTTCTCCTTATCAATCCATGAACTATTTAGACTTCATTTGGGACAGCTTTCATATTATTTTTTTAAAAAGATTTTTAATACAAAAATTTCTTTAACTAAAACTATTTGTGCTAGAAAACTGATATAGAAAGTTGTAAGAAAACTCTCTCAAACCAAGCCTTAGTCCCTCATAAAACTTCTATAATAATCCTCTTAATGGAGCTAGTCATCTTACATCAAATTTGGATCAAATAAAGAATTACAAATTGCCTATCCTAATAATTCATCTTAAAAAATAAAAAATTTCACACCATTGAACTTCTATCCCCTTGATCGATTAAATAATGAATTACAATTTGCTTATTTTTTATAACCTTAAAATATAAATACATAATTAAACAAATTTTGGCTAATTTTATACAAGCTTACATAAGACATATAAGTTGCATACCATTTAAGCACAGCTTAAAACGATATTTCTGAGTGGTAAATACAAGCATGCAGCATGCTCCATAAAGAAAAAGATATTAGGGCAGTGTTACCTCAGATGGTGATCATTGGCTTGATTAACAGAAGTAGGCGACAACACACATCAACTCTTTTGTCAGATCCCGTATTGACGAGTTTTACGCGCTATGTTATGCTCATCAGCAGCACTAGCATACAAATTCCATGAAATCGTGTGGCCCTCGTAAGCTTCATCAGGAACCTTGGAGAAATTATTAGGTTCGGACACCTGACAGAGAGAATCATTCAGATTTCTCTTTGTCTACAGTAAAACGTATACGTTTTGACTGTAGATAGAGAGAAATCCGGATGATTCTCTTTGTCCGGTGTCCGCACCTAATAATTTGCCGGAACCTTGAGCCTGGTTGCCTGAGAGGAGGTTCCAAGCAGAAAGTTGAGAAATTATTCAGATTCCTGCAAAATAAAGCTGGCATCAACTTGCTGGTAGGGCCAAGTTTCTTGGAAGCTAACTGCCTTTACATGTACAGAGAAAGATGATGAATTATAAGCTAAGAAACATCACGTTCCTGAAAAGCATTTGTTGGCCTTAGTCTAGTTCGAATGAAAGATTTCAGAGGGACATACTAAAACAAATTATTGCTTCTAGATCTCCTCTCAGATAGATAAAAGACTTCATTCGAAGGAGTTTATGGCGATGTGAATTACATTAGGAACTCTGTTAAGGTTCTCCCTGAACCGATCAAACCGGCCCAGGTTGGGCCGGTTCACTTCTATAGGAGGCGGGCTAAGCCACCTCCTTAGAAATTGCCACCCAAGCATATGCCCCTCCCCCTAGGGCGGCAAATAGAGAGAGGGAAGGGGGCAACTAAGGCATAAGGAGGTTATTTTGAATTTGGTATATTTTAGGAAGTTTTTATTAGGAAGATATGTATTTAAAGAGCATGAGAAGTTAGGGTAAGGGCATGCTTGATTATTGTTTCTCTTGGAGTTCTCTTTGGTGACTTGGGCTCTAGACTCTTCGTCTAGAGATTGGGAGAGAACAATCCTCCTCTCGAATTGAGGATCAATTGTATCTTTGCTTTGTGCTTGCTTTGATTTGATTCCTATAATGCAATCTACTGTTTTGGACTGTTTCACCAAAGTTCTTGAATTTTTCTCACTTTTTTTATCAATTATTGTTAGGTTTGCTTGTAAACTCAAATAATTTTCATTAGGATTACTTACAAACTCGAGTATTTCCTATCAAACTCACACTTATTAGCACCGTCTTAGAACATAAAGCTTTTTACTTCTTCATGATCTCCTCTCGACATTCTTGTTATTCTCACAGTGAGGAGAAGTTCTCATTAACAACCTTTTTTCCTCCAATTAATCGCATTCCTACAAACCACCCACTATGTAGTTACAGCCGGCGCTTGTAAGTGCTGGAGATTTTGGATCAGATGGAGAAGGCTGGCCACTTGCTAAACCATTAGAGGATCTGCCCACAGAGTGGGCTACAATCACTCTTGCCCATTTTATAACATCTCCCATTCGTAAATGACTCTATTAAATTCAGAAATTGAACTTCACGCATTTATTGCTTCATACCACAAATAATTGAGGGGATTGATCTTCTAAAGGCTATCCAAACCATGCAGCCTTACATGGTTAGTATGACTAGGGATGTGGTCAAAGGGTCAACCCAAACCCGATTCAATTTTTTAAACGGGTCGAATTGTTGAACTTGAACCCGACCCGCTTTAAGTTCGGGTTGACCCTAACCCGAAATTTTTGAGTCGGGTTCGAATCGGATTTTCGGGTCGTGTCAAATATTGACACCCCTAAGTATGCCAAAAACCAAAACCACTATGCATAACATGTGATAAAAATAGATAAAACTTGGTGTTTGCATACCTTGTACTTGTTTGGATTGCATCAGGTTGAGCATTCTCAATCCCTTTTAATGATGTCATGGAATATCTATCGAGAAGATTGCGCGAAACCTTCTTCCCACTTGTATTCAATTAACTTGAATAAAATTAGTTGACCTCCAACTATAGGTGAATGAACAAATCAAATTTGTCTTCTGGTCAAACATAATTCTCAGATTTTAGCTAGCCAATGTCCAATTAGGTCCTGTCAATCATGACCATTGCTAACAATCCAAGCCTTTAAGGAATCACTCGCAAGCCACACTCTTTGAAATACTATTGAGAGTACTAAAGATACAGTTAACAGGAGAAAAGGAATCACAATATAGAGAAGAAAGGATTAATCACAAACATATTGGGTCAATCTAGACACCTTATATGAAAATCATGCTACCAAGAAGCTTATCGAGTATATGATCAACTTTAAAACCATAAAGGATTTAATAATTACATCGCATGTAATTAACTCGAACCCTCCAATTTCTAAACATAGTGATGATCAGGATACTTGGCAACTTTATAATTCATATGAGAGTACATAAAGTATTTGACTCTTGAGTGGATATGAGGTTTCAAATTTTATCTACTAAATGGAGCAGAAATCAAGAAAAAAAAAATCTATTGCTCCCCTATATTCACCAGGTTTCAAGCAAAGCAGCTCAAATAAGTCTTTTGTAGTCTTCATGTTCCTATATATTTCATATTCTAGGCTATGATGCTATTTTTATCTTATGTACTTCATCTTGATGTATTCATATATTTTCTAGTTATAATATTTTGCTTAAAAGAAAAAAAAAACTATCGCAATCTCGACAATAGTTATTGTTGCCCCTGAAACAAATAAGATTGGTGATATTTACCTAAAAAAGAAAGTGATAAAAAGTATGTACACCTTACTTGATTTGGTCATCTAAATTAAATTTTACAAGTGCTTGCCATATTTACTCTAACCAAAAATGCAAATATACACATTTTACCAACTTGATTTGCTGATCTGAATTATTTTTTCCTTGAAATTCTGAATTAATTTATTCAGAAGTTTAGTTTTGGTCAATACTAGAAACCCTAAATGACTTCATAAGTTTGGTTATTAACTCCTCAAGGCCCTAAAAAGGTCGGTTGGCTATGTATGCCACACACATCTTTTAATTGATAGGTGTTGTATGGTTATCAAGACATATGGCCGACATAATTTATGGATGATATAGGGTTGGCTTGCTTGGCTAACCCTTTTTAAAATAAAATAAATTAAATTAAATTAAATTAATTCTCAAGGCCCTACAAAAAAGAAGCCAATGATATTTAGTCCCAAAAATACAAGTTAATAAGATGATCACATAGTCTGTAGCTATCATCACCACCACTAAAAAACCAATCTTTAAGAACTTCTCACCCTTTAAGTTCAATCATTCATTCCAAGGCCTTCAGTTCTTTTGATTAGTTTAGTCATACTTTAAAAACATACATCAAGAATTATTGATCTATATTTTATGGTCAAACATCCTTCTAGAATCACATAACAATCTTTATAAAAGGATATATCTTTTCTTCTTATTTTAAGAAAGTCTATTTGTGATACGGTAACTCTGCTTTTCAAAGTAAGTGTTTTTCTCATTTTTAAACTGCGTTCCTTATTGGGGGATCACCTTCTACTACAAATTCACATATAGAGTCGCCAATCACATTTAATCATCCATATCATACCTATAACATGTCAAAGTCACCAATAATTATGATTTGTTCTGAATATATTAGTTCTAACAGTTCATCGTCCTGTTCTCAACTTTTCATACTATCGTCTGATCCAAATAAAGAATAATAAGTGTGAATGACAATTATATTCTCATAACTAAGAAGAGGGATCGAGTCAAGCTCAAACAAGCTAACCTCAAATTGAAATCGAAAATTTCACTTTCAACTTCAGCCAAGTCTGATTCGAGTAAAAAATGATTAAATTTGAGACAATTTTATAATCAATTCCAATTAAGTCCCTGTATTTAAAAAAATATATATGTGCAGTTACTTCTACATAATTGTCTTTCATAAAGTTAAGCATAACAAAATTACACATGAATACATGAATTTTTGTCTTACTTTCTCTTTTACCTATTTTGTTAAGTTTTTAGGCCTTCTCTGTATTTTTAAATGAATTGAATTGATTTTGAGTTGAATTAAATAAATATCGAATGAGCCATTTTAATTCATAGAAAATTTATTTGGATTTCACATTGATTAAATTTTGAGAAAGTATCAAGTATTTTTTGAATAATTTCTAAATTTGTTCCTAGCCATTAATAAAATAACAATCACTTATCACGCATAATAAATTTAAATAGATTTTTTTGCCTCAAATAATAGAATAAAGCTGATATCGATTATGCAGGCAACCTGTCACTAACCTTAATAACTTCAACAATTTGATCTTTTAAATCTAAATCAACTACCAGCCCTTCTTAATTCCTATTTTAGTCATGGTAACAAACACTAACTTAGAAGCCTTCCCTAATGTCTTTGATTTTTTCTCCCTCTTCATTTAGCCTTATGCAATATTTATTTATTTCTAATCAAGTCATCTAAATCTCAAATAATTCCCATTCAAAGTTCACGAGTTCCACTCCTTTTTAATGCTTGTCCTATGCCATAGTTCAACTTGATTGCTCCTAACGTATCTATGAATGCATTTCCTCTTAAACTTATCTGTAAATAATGTCGATATGTGATTCCATACGTCATCCATGGCACGAAGTCATTTGACTTTGCAGCTGCACATCGAAAGGTATACCATTCCAATGCAGTAAAGCCAAAAATAATAATGATTAGCACATTAAACTCATTAATATAAACAGATTTAACCTACTAAACCAGTACAACAACAACAAATTCTTTATGCTCGGATAATCAAATTATAACTCAAGGTTAAAAACCTGATATAGATAAAATGGCCGAAATTCTCAATAAGAAAATGTGAAAGAAAAACATAACAGAACATCGCCAAAAGCCCTAGAACAATCCAAATCCTCTAATTCGAAAACGTTGATTCTCAGATATTACGAAACCCTACAAGAAGCTGAGCCTAAACACATTCCAACCCCAGAAATCTAGTTTCAAAAGGACACCCTAAAACCTAATGATATTGACGGTGACACAAAGGTAAAGAAAATCCAGAGCGAAGAAAAAGACAGAACGCAACAAGCTGAGAACAAAAGAAAAAACAGAAAGGAATAGCGACGATCCATGTATAAACATTTGGAGCCACTTTGCACTAAAATTTCAGTTACTCTGTCAATTGAATAGCTCAAAACGACGACTGTAAACAATAATGGATACCACAAAGAGAGATGGAGAGATCGCACTTCCGGCCAAATTCGGAGCCGGCCGCCGCCCGTAGGAGGTTAAGAACCATTGACCACGGAAAACGACGGGAAGATACTGCTGTATATATTATTATTTATCTCGAACCACATAAATTTTGTTTTTTCAGAATTTGGCTGGATTGATCAAATAAGTAAGGAATTTACTTACTGAAAACTCAAAATAATTATATATATATATAGAAAAGAAAATGAGAGAATGAAGGAACATTCGAAATCTCATAAAAAAGTGTAAAGAGATACACTGGGCAAAAAAATGGACTTAAAAAATTAAGAGCAAACGAAGCAAATGACACTAGAAGTCGCCAAAAAATTATTCTGTCGGATGCATAACGTCGTTCGGAGACCAATCAAAATATGTCATGTTAGCGATATCGAGCCGCGGTACCCAACAAAAAGGTGACGTGGTGCATTCTAATTGATCTCCAGACAACGTTTGTCATCCACACAAAATAATTAATCCCAAAAAAATACCATAAGGCTTAGAAATAGGAAATGGAATCCACAAAACCACCAAAATCTCAGGTTGTGTTAACTGCCATCATAGAGTTATACTTGTTTAACTCTTGTTAAATTCGAGCTGGACTCGTGAAATAATTTAAAATGTTTACTATATATTTTATTAAATTATTTTAAAATTAGATTTTAAATATATTTTAATTTAAACAAGTGACTTGACAAGCTTATAGCAGAGCTGAGTGGTAGGAAAGAAATATAAGTGGTATATTTGATATTAAAATAATATAAGGTGGTATGCATGTAATATTAAAGTTTTAGGTGTTAGATATATAAATAAGATGTTATAAAGTGGTATGTATGTAAATTTCCCAAAAAAAAAATACATCAATAAATAAATACTGGCCAAATTTTTATCAAGATAGATTAAAAATTTTAATTCAGTACACTTACATGATATATATATATATATATATATATAATGAAAACAAATGTCATGAAATATACAATAAAATAATGAAATATAAATATGTTAATAAATATTTAAATTTATCTTTTGATCAGGATATCTTAATCTTACCTAACTTTTGCCTTCTTACTTTGTATTCGCGTCGCGGTTCCCATTTTTTGAATAATGTGCTCCAACTCATAGCATATTCTTCCAATTTCGGTGAGGAATTTTTACTTCTGATCTAAATGAGCTCTTTTGCAAAATCTTTGACCGAAATTGATCATTTTGCTTTCTTTTGCAGATTAAGTAGGCAACCTTCCAGATCCCAGAGGTATGGGGAAAGGAGCGGGTTGTATGCCAAGCAAGAGTCGGCCGCCGGCGGGGGCCGCGGAGAGCTCTGAAGCCGACGTGAAGATTGTTGCCCCGGTTCCTAGAGAAGAGAGGAGCGTTGAGATCAAAGCAATCGATAACACTCCTCCTCCGGCTGAGGTTAAATTGAAGATCTTTATCGTATTCTACTCCATGTACGGGCACGTTGAGAGCTTGGCAAGGAGAATGAAGAAGGGGGTGGATGGGGTCGATGGCATCGAGGGATTCCTGTATCGTGTGCCCGAAACACTTTCTCAGGAAGTTTTGGGGATGATGAATGCGCCACCTAAAGATGAGGATATTCCGGTGATAACTGCTGGGGAGCTGACGGAGGCTGATGGCGTTCTGTTTGGGTTTCCGACGAGGTTTGGAAGCATGGCTGCGCAGATGAAGGCTTTCTTTGATAGTACGGGGCAGTTGTGGAAGGAACAGAAGCTTGCTGGGAAGCCAGCTGGGTTCTTTGTGAGCACTGGAACACAGGGAGGAGGGCAGGAAACAACTGCGTAAGATTTATTTAAGCATTTCCATAAAAGCAACTCCATTTCATATTTATCTCATTTTAAAGAAGATCGAATTCTTTTTTCAGTTATGATATCAAAATTTTAATGGCACATAAGAAATCTATGTTTTGATTGCGTAAAATAAAATTTCCATATAGTTTTTTATTATTTTCATACTTAGAGCTGCTAAATATCATATTTTTATGCATGGAATAGTATTTTATGTAATACATTTCAGGTTTAGTTTCCACTTCCCCAGTAATAGGCCATTTTTTAAATGAATTGGATGATCCAACTATCACATTCATACTCGGAGAGTTGCTTAAGACCTCTTTCTTTTTTCATTGGATCTTGGTCTTAGCAGCAGGAAAGGGTCATGTGACCTTATGAAGACAGAAGCTACTCCTCCCCTGCTAAGACCAACTGAGGAAAGATGTCTCACTTTGGAGAAATTATTCTGTGCGGAGACCGGACGGCAAGAACTGTCCAAATTTGTTGCGCTTTAGCTATTCTTTTGCTGCGCTTTTGTATTTACTCAGCAAAAGGGCAGCAAATATGCATTCATAAGTACACTTTTGATGCACTTGTGCTGAGTTTATGCAAAAGCGCAGCAAAAGGCAGCAAATATTCAATTAGTAGTATATTAGCTGCCCTTTTGCTGTGCTTTTGAAAAACTCAACAAAAGGGCAACATATATGCATTCATAATTGTCTTTTTGCTGTCCTTTTGCTGAGTATTTATAAAAGTGCAATAAAAGGATAGCTAAAGGGCAGCAAATTCGGACGGTTCTAGCCGTCCAGTCTCTACACAGAATAATTTATCCTCACTTTGACACCTTCCTAGCCTGAATTGTACATGTCATGTCGGGGCTATGACAAGACTATGAACCCATGGTGACAGCTTAACAATCTACTATATTCACAACTTAGTTTTACAGTTTCATTGTGAGATACAAAGCATTTCCTGTGCACATTTTTGTGAAGAATCGAAGCAAAAATGCCATATTCCTGTTGATTTTTCTGCTTAGATGTTGAAAGTGTGTCTGCAGATCTAGAAGCACTTGCCCTTGCATTGCTCTCTCTATGAGGTTAATACTTGGGATTCCCTTAGAACTTTGGTTTGGTGATTCCATTTAGAAGACTTGGTTATCGCCATTATCCAGACCTACATGAAGTTTGAATACAGAAAATTTTTGTCCAATTTTCTGTATATCCTGTTCATTTTGTATCTTTATTAACTGGGCCTAGTTTAGGAACATAGGCGGTTGATAAGAATTTTTTGAACCCTTTCAACCTTAAATGGCATAGAAGGCTTTCCCACCTTTTCATGCTTATATCTGATTTAGGAGAGATTATTATGTGCGGAGACCGGACAAAGAAAATCATTAGATACTTCGGTTGTCTCTGGGAACATTAAAAGCATAGTGTTTAACATTAAAGCGCTTTTACTGTTTACAGAAATAGACCAGACGGTTCTCTGTGTCCGATTTCCGCACGTAATAATTTCTCCTGATTTAGTGTCATTTAACCATCTTGCTTTCAATTATATAAAAGCTGTGAATGATCACTAGCTGGGTAACGTAAGAGAAGAAAACTCCTTATACCTGCTCACTTATACCATTTTTCCACCCTTCTTTGTCAAGCACATGGTCTGTCTCTTCCATGGGCACCCTTCTCTGTCACACAAATGGCCCCTTTCTTTTGTCTCCCCTGCTATGGTCCTAATTCCTTTACTCGTAATCCATTGTTATTCCATTCAAGAACTTTGTATATGATCATTTAGAAGACTTGATTATAGTTCAACCATTTTCTTGATGAAAGATTCGGTTCAGCTTATTGAGGATGATTTTAAAAAGAATAGTTTGTCATATTGGTTGTTATTTTTCCATTATATTGCATAGTTTAATAAATCATAATTTATTAAAAATATAGATCAAAATGAGAACTTCAAATGATTATTTTTCAAAAACCAATATTAATAGTCGGTTTGTCGAGAAAGTATTCTATGCGGAGACCAGATGCAGAACGCCGTCCGAAGACCAACCAGAATGTGCGCCACATCAACAGTACCGACCCGCGGTACCGAGCAAGGGGTGGCGCATTCTGATTGTTCTCCGGGCGACGTTCGACGTCTGCACATAAAAACAATTCTGTGGGGGCAGCCTTCTCAATGCTCGCCTTTCAGACCGTCATCACATTTTATTTGGCTATTGCTTTTGTGCTGTTTTTTTGAAATTCCTATCGGATGCTGCATTTTTACAACGAAATCTTCGAATATATTGTAATCGATCGGAAGAAATCTGTTTTCTATTTTTTCAATTCTGAAGACTTAAACTAGACCTTGCCTAATTTTCTAATTTGCAGCTGGACTGCAATCACCCAGCTAGCCCACCATGGAATGCTATTTGTTCCAATAGGTTATACTTTTGGGGCCAATATGTTCACATTGGAAGAGATCAAAGGAGGTTCTCCTTATGGTGCTGGAGTCTTTGCAGGTGATGGCAGTAGATTGGCCACTGATGTAGAGCTTGATCTTGCAGAACACCAAGGAAAATACATGGCCTCCACTGTCAAAAAGATAGTACAGTCTTAGCACAATCAAATCAAATCTCTGCTGAATCTCCATTATCCATTAATTCATAGATTTATTCTTCTCTGAGTATTTTTACTTTTCTTCATATGGATGTCAGCAAATAAGACCCTTACGGTCGGTCTCTCATTGCCTTTCTTTCTGTCTTTCATTCTTGTTTGTGCTTCCATTGGTCTTCATTGCCTATGATTGTTATAAACCAACAAAGTTAATGTTATTGATAATGCCCTTTGTGGCTTCTTTTTGTTTTTTGTGTGGAAGTGAGGAAATTTGTGCAAGAAATTTAGAATGTTTTTTCTTTTAGGTTTCATTTGGGATGGCTTTCTTACAGCTTCTTAAAGCAGCTTTCTAGTAGAAAAATAAAAATTTTCTATTAAAAAACTGCTTTAAGAAGCAATAAGAAAGCCACCCCAAACGAAACCTTAATTTCCCATCAGAAAGGTGCAAAGTCAAATTTTTGCAGCAGCTGCATTGTCCATAGTATATGGGGTCAAATTTATATGATGATAGTTGATAAATGTGGTACTTGTTAGGTTAGATGATTCTTTTGATGACTTATGGTCATATTGATTTTGACTTGTTTGATTTTTAAAGAAAATGATAAAAATAGTCATTAACCAAATTTTTATTGAGGAATGAGTTTATTTAGTAGAATGATGGACATAAACATACATTTGGAACTTGTTGGTGAATAAAATAAAGAAAGTCATACTAAGCTAAGATAAGCTTAAAAAATTATTAATGGAATAAAATTTTTATTTAAGCTATAATATTAATATATTTTTATTCAAATAGATTAAAATCAAATATTAAAAAATACAACAATTGATATATTTTCATACGAATTATTCAAATCATCTAAATTTATTTTCATTGGATATTTTTTGACCATTTCTATGATATAAATATTTTTCATTGTCCTATTTCTATCTGTATTGAGCAACATCTTACGGAGAAACAACTCATGTAGATTTTAAACCATTATCATTGTTAATCTTGGCATATCTTTATTCACATAAACTCATATTATAAGTGATTGAATAATATGTTTTAAAGCTATTTTGTATATTTAATTTCACTAAATAACATAAACTTGTTAGTGCAATATAGAGGGGAGCCTTCACATTAAAGAGTTTCAGATTAAAAAAAGACCAAAGCTTCATTTGGGGCAGCTTTCTTAAACCTTTCTCAAGCAACATTTTAGTACAAAATTAAAAAAATGTATACTAAAAAGTTGCTTTAAGAAGCAGTAAGAAAGCTGTCCCAAACAAAATCTAAAGCTTCTTTGGGGCGGCTATCTTTATATTTTTAATATGAAAAAAATAAAAAAAAAAACTATTCCAAACAAAATCTAAATTTTTCAAACTCCTTATTCTCACTAACAAAATGCTATATATATATATATATATCCTAGTCTACAAACATATTTAGAAGCCCTAAAAAATGATTTATTTTCAAGTGAAGATAAAATCATCATCATCATCATCATCATCATCATCATCATCATCATCATCATAATCATAATCATCATCATCATTAAAAAGAAGATTAGATTAAATCATCATTATTTTAAAATATTATTTCTATCTTCATGCAACCAAATGAGCCCTCAGACTAAAAAACAAAAATATTAAATAAATCAAATCCCTTAACTTTCCAAGTCCCAAGGATTGATTGTTCTGATTATATGGAAAGAATGTCCCAACCCAGCAAGCTACAAAATCTCCCAGTAAACTTCCAACCCCACAAATGAGAACTGCTTCTTCAGTTAGAAACACAACCTCAAGCCTTTCATTTCACTTCCCTCTGCATCAAAACCCTGAAAATACATGAAAGTTAATCTCAAAATATTACCGAGGAGAAGCAATCGCTGCCTTATTAGGTTTTACTGCTACTAAATTGATCCTCATCTTTCAATTTCTTTGAAGAAGAAGCATCAATGGCAATGTTCCCCAAACCAGCTTCCATTGCCTCCCTTTCGTCCTGCTGTCTCTTCTCCTTATCAGAAACAGCACTATCATCTAAAGATGATGGTTGTTGAATTCTGGGACCTGGATCCAGCCATGAATGGAGCAGAAGCTGAGCAGCTTTTGGTCTCTTCTCAGGAACAAAATCAAGTATGGGTTTAAGGAAATCAGCCATTTCGTTGGCATCTTGTTCGCTGAACTCATATTTTTCCATGAGAACCTTGTTCAAGGGCCAGAACCGAAGGCGATGGATATGCCTCAGGTCTCCATACCGGTTGAAGAAATCGCGGGAATAGCGGCCACCTAAAGCGATCTGAAAGAGATTTTGACTTTTAATATAACACAATGGAGAAAAAAGATTCATGTAGCGGACCCCACGTAATGAGATCAAGAACAGCTCAAAATCTTACCTTGCGAGGCATCATTCCAAGCAGTTCCATCATCAGTGCTAAGTGATCCTGTAGGGAGAAACAAGGTGGTTGATTGTGGTAAAACTTAGTAGAAAGCCAATTACATAATAACATATAAACAAGGAAGTTGAAATTAAATTAAATTATTTTTTTCAGCTACAGTTGATCAGAAGTTAATTGCTTGTAATCAATGGCGTAAGCCAATCTTAACGAAGGAAGCTGAAAAATAAACAATTAAGGAGAAGTATAAGTTTGGGAAAAAAGAATCATGCATTACCAATCAGTTCGAAGGATTTTAATGAGACAAATGGCTCATTTGGTTGTTTGTTGAAGTTAGAACTGATATTTTTAAAAAGATGAGGTTTGTTGGATCTATTAATTGATTTGGTGTAGTTAGACATTGACATTGATTTCAAACTCCATAAACCTCCTCAAAAGTTTGATATGTCTGGGAGACAAAAACAGCAAACACAATGAAAAAATTGCAGGAATATGAATATAAATGGCTAATTTTTTTATTATAACTTCAATAAAAAAAAGATACAAGTGGTCTACAATTCGAGAGGTAGATCGACAATGTCAAACAACTTAGACGCCAATAGGAAGCCCTCACGAAAAGAAAACTACAGTAACTCTCAAATAAAATTCTGCATAAACAAAACTAATCCTAAACTTAACCTTAAATAAGCTTCTCTTATTTCCCTCCGAAAAGTTTGATATGTCTTGGAGACAAACAGCAAACACAATGAAAAAATTGCAGGAATATGAATATAAATGGCTAATTTTTTTATTATAACTTCAATAAAAAAAGATACAAGTGGTCTACAATTCGAGAGGTAGATCGACTATGTCAAACAACCTAGACGCCGCTAGGAAGCCCTCACGAAAAGAAAACTACAGTAACTCTCAAATAAAATTATGCATAAACAAAACTAATCCTAAACTTAACCTTAAATAAGCTTCTCCTATTTCCCTCCAAAATCAGCCCCCCTTTCCTAATATATTTCCCTCTCTAATTTGAATTTTAATTAGGAAATTCTTACTAATTAATTTCTTCCTAAATCAGTCCCACTTTCCTAATATATTTGTCTCCAATTTGAATTTCAATTAAAAAATCCTTCCTAATTAATCCCTTCCTTAACTACTCTCATATGCAATGATAGATTTAACGGGACCCACAAGGAGAGAGAAAGGTCTTTGGATCGTATTTGTCTGGCATTCCTATTATGGATTTTGTTCAATTTGTTGTAAGTAATTATCTTCTTATTTTGTTTTCGATGATTATGATTTCTATGGATTTATCTCTCCAAAATCTATCAAAAATGCATTATATCATGATTTTATAAGCTTTCATCATAGAACTTTTGATATATTATAGATTTGATCATTATGAACAATAGATATGATTTTATTGCATTTTCACCGGTTGAATATGTTTATACAAATTTCTAGGTAAAATGAGTAGGAAAAAAGACATACTGGAAATGGGTTGAAAAGTGTTATATTTTGATTTGATATGATAAGACTGTAAGATCATATGTACTGAAATTATTAATATGATTGAGTTATGCAAGGATGTTTGCTGTTAGTTTGAATCTGATAAGATATATGAATATGATGTACTAATTAATATCAAATATATAATATGATATCCTCAAAATTCATGTGTTCCACTGACGGGAGTTAGTGGATGGAAGATATAAGGAGTTGAAGATTGATTGAGAGTTATAAGGAGTCGGAACAACTGATTCACGTGATTCAAGAGAAGTTATAAGGAGTATACTAATTGAGAGTTATAAGGGGCGAGTGATTAGGAGTCATAAGTGCATAAACAAGATACTCTCACATGAATATCTGATAGAACACTGATTCACTTATATAATTGATTGCACATGATACTCACAAACTCAAGATACCCTCATCTTAATGTCATATACCGATATTGATACTGAAATTGTTATTGATATTGATTATTGATATTAATACTAATTATTGATATGGGTATTGATATTGACACTAATTATTGATTTTCGATATTGATATTGATTACTGATACATATAATGTTACTAATACAGTTTAGTTACTGATACTGAATATTGTTTTTGATATTATGACTATGATTGACAGTTTGATGTGAGCTAAATGGATGATGAGTTTAGATGGAATTGATTGTGTGATAAAGATTGATTGACTAATTGATTGATTAGAGTTTATGATGGAAGAATGAAACAAAACTGACTAAGATATGTTACGTTATACACTGATTATTAATATGGATAACCAGTATAAATACATTGATGCATATATTTCTTTATATAATTTACAGCATACTATTTCTTTTACCTTGCATTGATCTCAATTGTAAGATTTTGATTACTTACTAGACTATGTGCCCATTATATGGTTTTATATATTTTCAAGAAAAAGTAAGAATCCTATGATATGAGGCTTCGAACAACATACATAATTCTTTTCATTGTTCATAAAAAATCTGCAAGCTCTAGCTAAATCGCTAAAATGGAAGACAAATGCAATTCTTCCAATATAAATCTCAGGACGTGACAACGCTCTGCCCATAATGAATTAGATGGGGTGGATCTCTTCCATAGAAAACCTTAAAAGGAGTGGTCTTTGATGTTGAATGGTATGAGGTGTTGCATCAACATTTTACCCACGCAATCCACCTTGTCCAACTCTTCAGCGTGTCTGAGACAAAGCATTTCAAATAGGTCTTTATGCTTCTATTGACCACTTCTATCTCGGGATGATATGTTGTGCTTCTCTTCAGAATTGTTCCCTATAAATGAAACAACTCCTTCCATGAGTGTCTAAAGAACACATTGTCCCCATCTAATACAATGGATTCTAGAAATCCATACAAACGCACTATATCTCATATAAAAACATAGCCATAGAGACCTCAGTGTAAGGTGTTCAGAGGGATGAAATATGCATACTTGCTCAAACGATTCACAACTACCAGTATCACTGAAAATCCCTCCAAATGTAGCAACCCTTCGATGAAATCCATCGTCACCTCCTCCCACACCAGCTCTGGTAGAGCTAGCAACTGTAATAACCCTCCTGGTATCATGGCTAAGGAATTGTGCATCTGACACACATCACATCTTGCTACCCAGTCCTCTACATCACGGCGCATCCCCACCCAATATGGTTTGGCTGATAGCTGACAAAAGTTTTCTGAGCTTCTGAATGTCCTCCAACTGCGTGTGGGCTCCGAAAAATTCCAATTTTTAGGGATGTTCTTCTTCTCTGTGTGCGTGAGTGTGCGTCAGTAAAACGTCCGAATGAGAGGGAGCGTTGTTTTATTTCGTGAGAGAGGCGGTGGGTAAGTCGGCAACTGAGCGGCTGTGTCGTTTGGGTATGTCGGTAGGGATGAACGGTTACAGTCAACACTGCGCTACTATGAAACTTCTGTAATAGCTTGGGTAGGTATCCCGACCCCCTTGGCAAAATTAATCGCCCTTGATGTAGTAGTTGAGTGCCCCTCAATGTGTAACCGAGATGACTGGTTGGGTGCTGCAACAAGTCGACTCTGATCTTCCTCAAACTCTCATCTTGTTCACTCCCTTATCTTAGGGCTTCCCAATCTATGATCATAGGTACTGATAGAGTTGTCAACTGTGGCGCGTCCGTCTTTCGTGATAGTGCATCCACAGCCTTTTTCTCCAATCCTGGGTGATACTGAATCTCTAAGTCATATCCTAATAACTTGGACAACCACCGTTAAAGTTCTTCAATTATCATCCTCTGCTCCAATAGAAATTTTAAACTTCTTTAATTTGTCCTGATGACAAAATATCGCCCCAACAAATAAGTTCACAACTTTTGGATGGCCAGTACAATTGCCATCAACTCCCGCTCGTATACAAACTTAAGCCTCTCCCTGGCAGTGAGCACCTTATTGAAATAAGCAATGAGCCGATAATTCTGCATAAGCACTGCTCCTAATCCTTATCCCAATGCAACTGTCTCTACCACAAAGCGTTTATTGAAGTTCAGAAGTGTTAATACTGGCACGTTGGTCATGGCTTTCTTCAGTTGCTTGAAGGCGTGTGTCGTTGCTTCCCCCCAATTAAAACTATACTTTTTCAGCTGCTCAGTTAGTGGCTATGCTATCGTGCCATACCATCGCACAAATTTCCTATAGTATCCGGTGAGGTCTAAGAACCTTCTCAACTCATTCAGGTTTTTAGGTAAAAACCAGTCCAACATAGCCTCAATCTTGGACTGGTCTGCTGCTACCCCTTCTTTGCTCACCACATGTCTTAGGTACTCCACCCGTGATTGTGCGAAAGAACACTTCTTCAAGTTGGCATACAGCTGGTGCTCCCTCAAAGTTTCTAGCACTGTCCTTAAATGAACCGCATGCTCTGCCTCTATACAACTATAGATCAGTATGCCATCAAAAAATACCAAGACAAACTTTTTATTATAGGGTTGAAAAACCCAATTCATGAGGGACTAAAAGGTGGCTGGAGCGTTGGTAAGGTCAAAAGGCATCACCAAAAACTCATAGTGAAAAAATTGACATGAAGTCGGGGGATGTGCACAAGACAACTTTCAGAACTTATGAGGGTCACTATGAGTTTTTGGTGATGCCTTTTGACCATACCAACGCTCCAGCCTTAAGCATCTCCCTTATGAGCTTCTCTATCTCATATTTTTGAATATGTGAATATCAATACGGTCTGACACTGATAGCAAAAACTACCTCCAAGGCAATGTCGTGCTTGTGCTCCCAGGGCAGTGGTAATCTGTTAGGCTGCTAAAAAACCTCAAAGAACTGTTGTTGAAGTTGTCATACACCATCAAAGACCTCAGCTGTCTCTGAGTCTCGGTCCTCCTCTAGGCTCTACAGCTCCACCAAGTAGCCCAGCCCTGTTCCTTGTATTTCCTTGACCATGGTCTTGAGTGAAACCATGGTTCTGCACATGCCGGCATCTCCTCGTAACACCACCTTCTACCCCTCCACCTTAATCTCCATAGTTAAAGATTTTCAATTTACCTTCGTCTCCCCGATCGC